AGCAAGGCCAGGAGTGCCCCTAGTAGCTTATTTTTCCTAGTAGCGATGCCCTTTGCTCCTAGTAGCTTCTTGCTCCTAGTAGTAAGCAACTGTCTTCATCTGCCTGGATCTAAGTTGCGTGCACCGAGCATGGCCACAAAGGCATTTACATGCGGTCCAAACCAACGTTGTCCCTGCGGAGATGGCCACTGGGGTCTTGGCCACTGGGGTCTCCCTTTTTCACACCACGTTGACTCAACCAAATATGATCTCAGCTTTGTCAACTTCACTCTGAGGTCCCTCGCAATGGCAGGGATAGGTGCCCGAAAAGCAAATGGGCACTGTGTCCGCCTCAACTCAAGAAAGTGCGGAAAAATATTGGTGAACGCTCAAGACTTGATAACTTCGAGAAAGGAACGACTGGAGGCCAAGAGGCCGAAGATGTTGAAGTCGCTGAGCATGTCCAGCAGGAGCTACCGACCCTATCAAGCCATGCATTCCTGAGCGAGTTTTGTTTGGTGTACAGCAAGAGTCAAGGCCAGGGAAGTGTTGCTTCTTATACCCCGTTGTACTGGCGTCCGGGGTCAGTACCGGATAATTTCCAGGGATTGACGGGTTTTTAGCCAAAACCGGTGGATAAATTTGAAGGCCAGAGGGCCAACATAAGGCCCAAATAAAAAAAATACACAACCAGTGCAGATAGATAATTTTGAGAAGGCCTGAGGCTAGCAAGCTAGACGAATAGGATCGAGGACCCCCCCCGCAAAAAAGTAGATGCTAATCGACAAACGAGACAAAAAGAAAAGATCCCAGGCCCAGGTTTTTTCCAACGCTCTATGTGCTCTGTGGTGGTCTGCAAAACTAAGGATTGTTGCGGAGGTCTGCAAACCTTAGAAGGTTGGTTGTGGTTGTAGTTGAGGTTGGCTTTGAATCAATGGATCCAACCACTTGCAAAAGAATGTCGATTGCATGGCCCGCAGTGCTGGTCGAACTGTACATTTTGGTCGGTATTTTGTGGCCTTGACAGCCACTCTGGACTTAGGAACGCCAGCAGGAGTTTATCAGGGTTACGATGCCCAGAGCGACTGGGAAGCAGCTTCTTTGTTGAACGGAACTTCTGCATTGAAATTGTTTTGTCCAGATGTCAGCGCACCTTTTTTTCTATATTCGCTGCCGTTGAGCAATGTTGTTAGAAGGCTCTCCAGACCTAGCAGAAGCAGCAGAAGAAGATTAATTTCAGCGTCTCCCACAACTTGTCATTTGTATATCTCCCCAACCTCAGTACCAAGGAAAATACCAAGGTTGTTTTTAGGACGCACATGTTTCAGAACGTGTCCTTTTCACAGGCTGCGAATCTCATGGAAGACCTGGTGCAGGATCCCGATGAGGAAGACTATAACATGAACCTGGATGAGTATGAGGCCCCACCACTATTTTTCAGACTCCTCATGTCGAAACACAGGGTCCCACTGAGAATGATCCAGAGCTGAAAGGCGCTGACCAAGAGTGCTTCCAGCTGTTGGAGCCGTTGAAAGCCCGCGGTGACTGATGCTTTGACGTTCCGTTGGCAAGTTTCGCTGACAATTTTTTGGTTCTCTGTGATCATGACGTCCATGGAGCTCGGAAAATCTAACGAGCGGAAACCTAACGAACGTCCAACGAGCGATGTTCTATCTTTTCTTTCCTTTTCTACTCCCACTACCGAGTGGATAAAATTGGAGCGTCTATTCTGGATATTTTTGATGCACTGACCCCATTTTATCCACCCCCCCAAAAAATATCCACTCCTTACTTGGGTTGATTTTTTTTGGAGGACAGACCCCCTGGATAGGTTGCTGGCAGGCTGGCACACAGATAAAGTCCAGGCACTGACCCCTCCAATTTTATCCACTCAGTACGGCCCCCTATGCTTCTTCGGCAAAAACATCGGTGAGATGATGTTCACCCTGCTCACCGCCTGCTCACCGTCTGTTCACCGTATTCACCCCCTCCGGCCACGCCTTGGGAACTTGGAGGCGCTGGCTCTCTCTATCGTGGAAGAACGCTGAGGCGTCTTGTAAGTTGCAGGAGAGGGTAGTTCAGGCCAAAACTTAGGACCTTCAAAAAGGGGGAGGAACAGGAAGAAAGTCCAAGTAGAAGAAGTGCCACTGTTCTCGATTGAATGAGTTCCATGTCTTGCATGTGACAACATGTCGTTGCATGTCGCCATGTGTCGCTGCTTGCTATTGCCTTTTCCTGGGCCATTGTCAGAATGCCGCGCCAAAATGCATTCTTGGGCCTACTGCAATGCAACTTTGCAGCCACCGTGCCTCTGCGCTGGGTCTGAAGCTGGGGAACCTGGGTAACCACCAGCGACTTCGGTATCCTCAGCACCCTCCGCAATCACCTGCACGCTTAGTTCAAGACGTGTCTTAGGCTGAAAAGCCGTTGTTTTCCATGCCATCGTGCTGTCACCATCATAGTCAAGATTAGATACATACATATATATATATACACACAGTACATGAGAAGGGAGGGGACGAAAGCCAGCCTCTGGGTTACAGGTGCCCTCAGGGCAAGCCTGGCCAAAGATTTGGTGTGCAAGATGAAGTGATTGGGTAACATCGGGCAAAGAGTACTTTTATGGGGTGAAGTTGACATCGCAGCCACACTGATAGGGGGTAGAAATAGAAAGTGAAATACACAGGTTTGGGGTGGGGGGTGCCCTTTTTCGTCCCGGTTCAGGTGCGCTTTGGAGGTGAAAAAGGGCGCCCCTAAGGAAGTAAGGGGCGCTTGCCTGCGGCGTGTTGCGAATCAGTGAGCAAACACGGCTGCGGGGGTCCATGTGCGAGGCTATGGGCAGGGTTGGTGAGGATACATATATGTCTATAGGATATGTCTATAGGTAGAGTGGACAAAGAGTAGCCGGTAGTGGTGAGGTTGATATTGGAGCGACTTGAGTGTGCAAGATGAAGTGATAGGCTAACATCGCGTAAAGAATACTTATATGGGGTGAAGTTGGCATCGCAGGTACGCGATAGGAGGTAGAAAAAGAAGGTAGCATTAAAAGGGGGGTGCCCTTTTTCGTCCTGGTTCAGGAGTGTTTTGGAGGTGAAAAGGGCGCTATGAGTTTGCCGGCTGCGTGTTGCTAGTCAGTGAGCAAAGATGGTCGTGGGGGGATTTGTGGGCAAGGCTATCGGCAGGCTTTCGTGAGGATATATATATATATGTATATATAGGTAGAGTGGACAAAGATGAGCTGGAAGTGGTGAAGTGGATATGGCCGTCATTTCAAAAGAATGGAAATAGACAGTAGAATACATCGGTTTGGGACGGGGTGCCCTTTTGCGCCTTGATGTCGAGGCGTTGTGGAGGGAAAAAGGGCACCCCCGTAGTGCGGGGAAGGTTTGGTATGGTGTGTTGGTCTATTTTTCAAGTGAGTTGACAGCTGGCTTTCGTGATTAGATGTCCCCTTGTTCTCATTTAAGCTTTGAATGTAGTTTGGAGCAAGTGCTATGGTTTCCTGCAACAGCTGGCCACTTCAAATGGCCCCAAACTGCCAACCTCTGTGGTATGGATGCCACGTTCAGTCTCACAAGTACGAAATAGTTCAATAATTGCACAAGATTGCACATGTGACTGTTGCAGCAAGGAGATGCTGATTGCTTAGTTTGGTTTGTCATCACCGGGTGTGTTGTTACACCGAACAGCGTTGTCTAAGCCATCATGGTCAGTGCACTTCCATAGCACGACCAGCGTGACGATGGTCCATGTCCACGTTTCACAGTGGTACGTCACAACGTGCTGCTCGAATGTGGAGCGTGCATTTTCCCGACCTTTTGTCCACCCCAATCCACGTGAACTCCCACCGCATAGGGGGTGCCCTCTTCAGT